TTGGACCTTTTTTCTGTACTTCAAATCTCTGTTTATTTCACCTATCTCTTTGGCATTTTATGAGCTCAAGTTACTGACAAGGCCGACACGTTACTTAAAGTTGATTGACCTCATAACTGGCTTCTATGCCTCTTCCTGCTACTTCTACCTTGTCATATCATAAAAGTGGATTCCAACTTTCTATGAGCTTAGAAAAATGATAGTGATGTAGCTTGAATTGAAATAGAGTTGACTATAGGACAAATTTTAACTAACGAGAGAAAGGAAACCAGAAGAAATGAACAGCTAAATTTCTCATCCTTTCACACATCCAAGTGACTCATTCATTGCATATTTCAGAGTTATCTCACAAGATCAAACAGATGCAGATATGAAACAACCAGTTATCTGCTTTTCTCTGCCCATGTTAATGCAGTGACTACTGAAGTAGCTCATCACCTTGCATTACTGTCAATATTTTGTTTTATTGCCACTTTTCTACCTGCGCTTTGCCATTTTAAACTATTAGAATTATTATGTATTAAACTGTGTCCTCAAAAGAAATGTATATCAACTTTACTGTGCCATGATTTTTAGTTGCTTACCTGTTATAAAATTGTGTAATTTGGCGGTTATGTAATGATATATTTTCATCTGATAAACTAATCATTTATAAAAAGGAAAGGCTACAGCTCCCTTAATCTCATTACCACCCTAAAATGATTTTAAGATACTTTCCAGCAATACTTGTAATTTTCCAAGGGAAGTAGGGGAATACTATTATCAATAAAAAAAAGCCAGGAGTGGAGTTTATCCTTTGGACTCAGGTCACTGAAAATTTCTGAATCTGCAAGCATTTCTAGGCCTATAAATAAATGCTAATACTACAAATGGTACAATGACCCAAGGACTTTCTCCAGAGCTGATAGAAAAGGCCTTCCCACTCACCACCTTCACAAACTGTGAGACAATGTAAGTCAGTCACTTATTTCTGTGATAACAACATTGTGGTGTCCAGAGCTTTTTGTTTAAGATTACTTTCCTTGCCATTGATTTTGTTTTTTCACCTTGAGTGGGAAGAGGGTTGTATAAAGTAATCACAGTGGGAATGTGTTTCCCACATTCTAGAAAGTTAAAAGAAATGTATTAAAACAGAGAAGGCAGGACACTCACCTCCAGCAAAGAAGAGGAAGCGGAGAGTGAAGCATGCATCTTTCAGGACCAGAGGTGCCTGTGCAGGTCAAAACAGGTTCTGTATGAGAGCAACAGCAGGCACAGCAAGAGAACCAGAGACCAACATGAGATAGAATTGACTTGGGACTGCTGGTTCATGAAGTCGAAAGTAGAGGACCACCCAAGCTTTCTGGAGGACTGAGGAAGTATGCTGTAACTGGAAGGACTAAAATGACCTTTGTTGATTTAAGCCATGAGACTGAAGGTTGAGGGATTGTATCCTGCTTCCAATCTGTATTGTAGTCTGTTAATTTCCCTAACAAAAGGTGTGATCAGTCCTTGAAGGACATCATTCTTGGAAGGGTGGGAAGACAGGGAAAAAGAAGACAACTAGAGATTTACTGACACTGTAACTGGGGTAACAGGGGTAGGTGTGTCAGAGTCAGAGAGACTGGCTCAGGACAGGGCAGGTTTCAGAGCTATTATACATAGGATTGCTATGAGTCACAGGCCCCTCGATGGCACATGACAACAACAACAACTATTTAAAGTTTTTAGTTTTAATCTGCGTTATGCAGATGACACAACCCTGCTAGTTGAAACAGGAGGACCTGAAACGCTTGCTGCAGAGGGTCAAGGACTGCAGCCATCAGTATGGATTGAGGCTCAACATCAAAAAGACAAAAATTCTCACCACTGGACCAATTGGCAGCATCAGGGTGGATGATGAAGAGATTGAGATTGTTAACACTTTAGTCCGCTTGGCTTCACAGTCAACACTCTTGGCACCAGCAGCCAGGAAATTAAAAGACGTATTGTGATGGGAAAGTCTGCTGTTAGGGACCTCTCTAAAGTACTCAAGAGCAAAGGTGTGTCTCTGGAGATGAAGGTGTGTCTGATAAAGGCCATGGTCTTTGCAATCACTTGTTATGCATCAGAGAGTTGGACAATGACTAGGGAGGATAGAAAGAGAGTTGATGCCTTGGAGCTGTGGTGTTGGAGAAGAGTATTGAATGTACCAGGGACTGCCAAGAAAACAAACAGATTTATCCTAGAGAGGGTTAAACCAGGCTGTTCCTTGGAGGCAAGGATTCTGGGCCTTCATCTGACATACTTTGGACATGTTGTAAGGAGGTACCGGTCCTTGAAAAGGAACATCATGCTTGGGAGGTGGAGGGACAGTGCAGGAGGAGAAGGCCCTCTGGGAGGTAGATTGATTCAGTGACTGGGGTAATCAGGATGGGTGTGTCAGAGGCAGTGATATTGGCACAGGATAGAGCACGGTTTAGGTCTGTTGTACACAGCGTCACTATGAATCACAAGCAACTCGACAGCACATAACAACAACAGCAACAACAATTTTAATAAAAAGCATCTGTAACTCTTATGTAAAATGTGTACAGGACCTAATATTTTTTTCCTTTAATTCATGCTTGTAAGAATACAATTGTACAAACATCTGATTTTGCTGTACATTTACTTTTGCTGATCTGCTATATTCTTTATATAATGCACCTCCATTTATTTCCTTCTAAATTTCATTTTTCTCGTTACTTAGTTTTTTAAACATTTTTAGTCTTTCAATGACAACAAAAACTATTTTCCATAATATTTATCTTGCAGCTGAAAGATGTGACATGATTTCTGTGACTCAATTCAACAGCCGACTTTGCTTTAATCATTACTTCATGAGGAAATGTTTAGATTACAAAAGCTTGAGGAAAAATAAAGGCATTTAATTTTCTCTTAGTGGTTGATGGAAGCTACAAAAAAAAAAAACCAAAAACAAAAAAAAAACAAAAACACCCTGACTTTGTAGCAGGTAATTTAAATCACAAACACCTACCTTGTTTAAACTTTGTTCTGAAGCATATTTTGTATTTTAAAGCTATTTATGGAATGCAATTTCATACTCAGGATCACACCATAAATTGAAGAACAGAATGCCAGGAGAAGTATGTTTAAGGGAATAAAATATGAGAGAATGATGAAGCCACTGAACTCAAATGGCAAAATTCTTTAGCATCAAATAAAGTGAGCACCTAAATCACTGAGGCAGATGTTTACCTGTAACCACTTTATCCTTATAGCTCCCTGAGGTGAAATGTCTATTATATTGTTTGGGAGGCCAGTCAAGTGTTTAATCAAAAAGCAACTCTTTCTTCCTCTAGTTTTGTACACTAAAAAATCAGCACCATTACTCTCTCATTCAATTATTTGAGGAACTAGAAACATGTTCAGTCTCTTTCAGCTTCATACTAAATTTTCAAATGTTCATTTCCGGTGTTCTTCTCAAATTTGTGTTGCTGTCCAGCAGTGTTTATGTCAAGGTTTTAAATAGTTATTTTGACATAGAGACCAAATGTTTTAGTGTGGGAAAAGCATGCATTGTAAGAATAGCCTGTTAGTGTCTGGATGTTATTTAGAATTAGCACATCATATGTAGCTCTGGTGGTCTAGTGGCACCAGTCTCCTCTCCATCCATCATGACACTGTCTATTGGACCAGTAGTAAGAATCTTTATTTTCTTGATATTAAGACGCAATCCATACCCAAGGCTCCACTCCTTGAACTTCTGTAACAAGTGCTATAAATCTGACACTTCATAGAGTCCAGCTTCTTGGATAATTTGTTCAGATTGAACAGGTACGGAGATAGAATACATCCCTGATGCACTTCCTTCCCAATTCCAAACCATTCAGTGTTCCCCTGCTCCATTCACACAACAGCTTCCAGGTCAAGGTATAGGTTCATCATGAACACAATCAAGTGCTCTGGGATTCCCAATGTTAGCCACAACTTGTCATGATCCACACAGTCAAATGCTTTTGTACATATAAGTCAATAAAGCATAAAAAGACTTTCATCTGCTATTCCTTACTTTCAGCCAGGATCCATCTGACATCAGCAATGATATCACTGGTGTCACAGCCTCTTCTAAATCCCACTTGAACTTCTGGAAATTCCCTATCAATGTATACTGTTTCAGCAATTTTTAAAATTATCTTCAGCAGAATTTTGCTAGCATGTGATTTTGTTCAATAATTTCTACATTCAATTTGATCACCCCTCTTGGGAATAGGAACAAATATTGACCTCTTCTAATCCATTGGCCAGAGAACCGTCTTCCAAATTTCTTGACATAGACTGGTGAGTGCATCCAAGACTGCATTTGTAAATTCAAACAAGTCAGTTGGTATCCTATATATTTGTGGGCCTTATTTTGTGACAATGCTTTCAATGCAGCTTCTACTTCTTCTTCCTTCATTACCATTGGCTCCCGTGCATATGTTACTTCCTGAAATTTTTCAAAGACTTTTGAAAAACCCTATGAGAATAGTTATAGTAGTATAGTGGTACAGCTCAGATTGGAAGTTAGTTGAAATGAGGAAAATAAATAGCAAACATCATTTAACAATTGGTACATGGGATATTTGTAGCTTGAATGCTGAAAAAGCGGATAGTATTTAAATTAAACAGAACACATGAATATTGACATACTAGGCATTAGTGAGATGCAATGGACCAGCTTTGGCCACTTTGAATCAGATAATCATATGATACACTATGCAAGACATGAAAAAATAGAAGAAGAATGGTGTTGCATTCATAGTAAAAAAGTGAATTTTGGAACACCTAACTCCTGGGAGCTTGGCCCAGCCAGGTGCAGAGGGAAGCTCGCAGTAGTCCGAGAGGAGCCAAAACGTCAGTGTTCAGCCGCTGGGGGAGACACCCACCCGGGAGATGAAGAAACAGCAACCCAGAGAGGAGAAGTAACTCAATTAGAATCTTTTGTGAAGAATCAAAGACAAGAAGCCAGACCTGGACCTTCCTAGGTCAGCCTTTCTGAACCTGGCAGGAGTCAACCATGGATATCAGGCGTGTGAAGGAATATCTCTCGTGGATCTACTATCGATATCAAATCATTAGTTGCTGTTCTGTCCTGGAGCCCTGGGAGCGATCTATGTTCAATACTATCTTATTATCTACTTTTGCTATGGTAGTGTACACTGCCTATGTCTTTACACCAATCCACATTCGTTTGGCTTGGGAATTCTTCTCAAAAATATGTGGATTACACAGTACACTTTCTAGTTGACGGAAATTTCTAGTTGATCTATGAAATGGCTTTGCATATTTACATTTTATTACAATTATAATTTATTGATTTCGGTTAACGCTGTGTCTTCCTTCCCTATCTGACCCCAAAAACACTGCTCTATGCAGCCCTGTGGCCTAACTAGAGTATTTTTACCTCCCATACCACCTTCTCTTAATTCACATTCTTTTTTATTTAAGAGTTTTTGGGTTTTTTTGCTTATTTTAAAACAAAGATTACTCCATATTAAAAAGTTTCTGGAAAACAAACTTATGAGATACTCACCAGAATTATATATTTTCAAAGTAAAAAAAAAAGTCAATCTTAAGTTCTATCCTGAAATACGATGTTGTGAGTGATAGGATAGTATCCATATGCATACAAAGAAAACCCATTAATATGACTATTATTCAAGTATATGTTCCTACATCTAGTGTCAAAGAGGAAGAAATTGCGAATTTTTACCAAATGTTGCAGTCTGAAATTGACTGAAAATGTGATCAGGGTATGTTAATGATAATTGGTGACTGTAATGCAAAAGCAAGAAGCAATGAAAAAGCAACAGTAGTTGGAAAATATGGACTTGGTGATAGAAATGAGGCTGGAAATAGAATGATTGAAATTTATATTTACAATGATATGTTCATTGAAAACACTTTTTCTAAAATACACAAAGGACGACTTTACACATGGATTTCACCCATTGGGCTGCAGAGGAATCAGATCGACTACATTTGTAGCAGTCTAACTAGGCCAGGGGCAGACTATGGGTCAAATCATCAATTATGTACTTGCAAGTTCAAATTGAGGCCAAAAACAATGAAAATAAGTCCACAGGAATCAAGATAGGATCTTGAATCTATTCCAATGGAATTTAATGATCATCATAAGAATAGGTTTGAGGAACTGAGCACCAATAATAGAAGAACAGATGAGTTGTGGGATGATATCAACCATGAAGAAAGCAAAAGGTCATTACAAGAGCAGAGGAGAAAGTAAAAAAAAAAACCAAAAAAAACCCCTGAAATGAATGTCAGAAGAGACTCTAAAGATTGCACTAGAATATAGAGAAGCCAAATCTAAAGGAAACCATGTCAAAGTGAAAGAGCTGAACACATGGTTTCAAAGTGCAACTCTGGAGGACAAAGAAAAGTATTATAATGGAATGTGCGAGAGAGCTGGAAATGAAGAATAAAAAGGGAAGAACTCTCTCTCCATTTCTCAAGCTGAAAGAACTAAAAAATAAATTTAGGTCTCATGTTGCAATGTTGAAAGATGCTATGCACAATATATTGAAACAGATGAGGGAGAGAACAATTTAAAAGCGATATTTGATAGGGTATTATGGTTATCACAAGAGTCCAGAATTAAGGTTGCATAGTGGAGTGCACTTGGGGCGGTGGCAGGGGCTCGGGGGGAGGGTGTATACCAATGAAAGAATTTTGGTTTTGTGCAAAGTTGAAAATAAAAAATATTTATTAATTTAAAAAAAAGATGGAGGGAATATAAAGTCACTGCACCAGAAAGAATTGATTGACACCGAAAAAGATTTCAGGAAGTACCATATGACTCTGTGGTACACAACAACAATCATGTCTAGAGCTCTGGTGGCCTACTGGTAAGAAGCTGAACTGCCAACCTGAAGTCACAGTTTGGTAGTTTTCAACCTACCAGCTGCTCTACAGGATAAATATAAGCAATCTCCTCCTATGTAATTTACTAAGTCTGCAAACTCGATGGGGGCTCAACAATGAATTGATTCCAACTTGATGGTACCTAACATCATCACATCTATACTTCTTGATGTCTCAAACCATTTTTGTAGAAATAGATAACTAGTAAAACATGCATGAGGATCTAAGGAGGGGGTTGGTAACAGAGGGATGAGGATGGGTGTGTGTGGGTTAATCATGGGGTCATACAATTCGATGGGTGGAGTGAGGCGTGGGTTAAGGAAATGGGGAAGATCTCGTGTAAAAATAATATGTACAGACTTTTTAAGTAAACCAGTCTAAAATATAAATTTTGTGTATATAAAAAGGTCACGTTAAGTAATTAATTTAAAATTACACTTTTGCAAATAATGTGGTCTGTGTGCAAGCAAGAGAAACACCTTGAATTGTAAAAATTCAAGCAGTTTTTTGAAAATCCAGGTCATTGGCTAAAAAATTATTCATTTTAGTCTAAATGATATGGAGAGTTTAGCAAGCCCATTTTGAATATTGATGGAAAGTTTTAATATATAGTTGAAGTGAAAATATTGCAAGCTAGTCTACCAGAAATAAAATACGGGCACAAACTTAGCTGCTATGTATAGTTAAGAACTTGACTGCTAGCCAAAATCTCAGCAGTTTGAATCCACCATCTGTACTTTGAGGGAAAAGATCTGGAGATCTGCTTCCTTAAATATCACAGTCTGGCAAACCCTTATAAGACAATTCTACAATGTCACAGAGAGTCACTATAACTTACAATTTACTCAGTGGCACACAACAAGGCATGTTATCACATGATATCACATATATCAATGATTGTACACATACCATGCATTGACAAAGCTGAAAAAAAATTTGATTGCTACACTCTTGATTGAGTAATCTTGATTAACTTCATGAATTAATGAAATTACTAATTAACTTCTAACTTGAGAGAGGTACCAGTTAAATTCATAACTTAGTGTCTAAATACATCAACAATTCAGGACAAAACATTACGCTGAATGTTGTTGGTTTGTGCTTTCAAGTCACTTCTAATTCATAGGCACCATATGTACAAGAGAGGCAATTGCTGCCTGGTCTGGGACCATGCTATCAATTATTGCTGATTTGCAGTTGTTGTAGCTGCTGGGCCAATCCATTGATAGTTTCCTCTTTTTCACTGATCCTTTATTGCACCTAGCATGATGACCTTCTCCAGGAATTGGCCCCTTCTGATAACATGGTTGAAGTATATGAGATAAAATCTTTTTGTCCTCATTTCTAAGAAGTATCTCGGCTGCACTTCTTTGAAAACAAATTTATTTGTTCATTTAGAAGTTCAATAACCTTCATCAATATCATAATTCAAAGACATGAGCTCCTCTTTGGTCTTCCTTACTCACTGTCAGACTTCAGTGTACATGTGAGGTGGTTGAAAATATCATGGCTTAGATCAAGTACACCATAGTTCTCAAAGTAGTATCTTTGTTCTTAAATATTTTAAAGAAGTCATGTGTAGCACTGAAGTGCAACGACATCAGGCTGGAGACTAATGTGTGCCTGAACCAGGCTATAGTCTTTGCAATTATGTGCTATGCATCGGAGAGTTGGACAGTGAATAGGGACGATAGAAAGAGAATTGATGCCTTTGAGTTGTGGTGCTAGAGAAGAGTGTCGAATATACCATGGACTGCTAGGAGAACTAACAGGTTTGTTCTGGAGAGGGTGAAGCCAGAATGCTACTTGGAGCCAAGGATTCTGAAGCTTAGTCTGACATACTTTGGAGGTCCTTGGAGAGGGACATCATGTTTGGGAGAGTGGAGGAACGGCGCCGCAGGAGAAGACCCTCGATGTAATTGATCGATTCTGTGAGTAGAATGGTGGGAATGAATGTGTTTGAGACAGCGAAGTTGGAACAGGATAGAATGACGTTTAGGGCTCTTGTACACAGGGTCACTATGAGTCGCGAATGACTCGATGGCACATAATGACAATAACAACATGTGCAGCAAATGTATCCAGTAAACTACATTAAAAATACAGTGCAGTACATTAGAAAGAAATTTTTATTTCTTAAATGCTGAGTCCATGGGTTTTGAACATGGGTCAAAGTAATATGATATACTTGAAAAGGTCAATCTTATCTTTATATAGGATGATTTGCTTGTTTATAAAATTGTAGGTTATGCAATTGTGGATTTTTATTTTCTTTTTAAAATTTATACCACTTCCTAAACAATATTCCTCTGGACATTCTACAAACTTTGAAAAATGGCAATAGTTATAGAAAGGCTTCAAGTCAGGGAGCTCTTTTGGACTAGTAGCAAGAAGCTGCACTGCAATACCAGAAGTAAGTGGTTCAAATCCACCAGATGCTTTGCTGAAGAAGGAGGGGCAATCTCCTCCTGTATCAGTCAGATCTGATTTGATGATACACACACAAAAAATAATAAGATAAAATGAAAAAAAAAAGAAAAGGCTTCAGGTCTTTTGTTCATAGTTTCAATATGAGTTGTATTCGGTGGCAATCAACAACATTTACAAAATTAGAATACATTGTTTTTCAGACCATTTTCTTCCAATTTTTCTCAGTCTCCACCACCAGTCAACTTGTACAACCCTAAGGTTAATTACCAAACCCCCCACCCCCACCCGCTCCCCGAGTTTGTATTTTCTTGATGTTGAAATGTAAAGGAGAGTCCTTGACACTTGGGTGCCTTTCATCCTCTCTCCAGGTTCATAGGGTTTCCAGAGGTAAGCTATTATGGAAGTGGATGCCACTCCTCCTTCCATGCTTTATTTCAGTAATGGCATCATTTGCATGTCACTGGGAAGATTGCATAAACCTTCCTCCAACCCTGATGCTGAAATTTTCTTTATATAGTTTAGGTTCCTGGATCATTTGCTCTGCATAAGCTTGAATCAGCATGGTGAAAGGGTAAAACCCCTGAGGCACTTCTCCTGATTTTAAAACATGAATTATCCTCTTGTTCCATTTGAATGACTGATCTTTGGTTTATGCACATGAGGACAATGAAGTGTTCTGAAACGTCCATTCTTTGCAATGTTGTCCATAATATATGATTATCTGTACAGCTGAAAGCTTTGGCCCAGTTACTAAAACACAGGTAAATCTCCTTCTAGTATTCTCTACTTTCAGGCAAGATTCATTTGATACCAGTAATGATCAAGTCCATTGTTTGAATTTTTTACAGGTCCTTATCAATTTCTGAATTGAATTGAAGCTCTAACCATTTCTGAATTCACTCACTTTACTTGATGGCAGTCAACAACACAACAGTC